GTAAATACATTTTGTTCGAAGCTGTAATAGATAATATAGTTCTTATTGAATCGAATCTAGCTATAGGACTAAACGTTTCATGATAATCAATTCCAGCAGTTTGTTTAAAACCTCTAGCAACGAGTCTTGCCTTGAATCGTTGTATATTTCCATCGCTATTCATTTTCAATTTATAAGTTCATTGATTATCTATGACTTGATGGTCTGATGGCGGATTTACTAATGTCTATGTTTGAGTTTTTCTCAAAGAATCAATTTCGTCATCCATGGCTTCTTTCCATTTGATTGTGTTGTTATATGTGATCGCGTCATCGTAGTTTTCCGGTTCATAGTTTTGTGATCACAATATTTCCATATGTGAGTCTGTCTGTTCGGCGTATTTTATTTCTGTCTCTCAAACGTCGGTCTTGTTTATATTGATTTTTATCTTCTGGATCGTTTGATTCTTTATCTGAATTTACTTGTTCGTTGTTTTCCGACTGAATAACGGTTTTTGATTCGACATTTATTGTGTCATCTTTGTGATGTTCAAAGATTATAATATTTGACTCTGATTCCCATTTTTCATTTGAATTAATTTCGTAAAATTGATCTGTGAATCTTACATCCCTATGTATTTTAACTTGTCCTCTTTCAGAAAGCCAAATCCGAAATCTTTTTGTGTTTTCATCATATCCGATGAAAATGTTTTTTTCGGCTTTGACATCCCATTTTCGTCTCTTCTCTTTAAGGATATGAAAGTATACTTCTTCTCCTCTTTAAGGTTCTGAGATTTGAAATGTTCGGTCTCTTCTTGAGCCATAGTTCAATAGGTGTTACTCCTTTCTCCCCACTGGTTCTATTTAAAGTATAAACAGTGTAATTAACTGCTTCAGCTCACATTTTCATTAACAAAAAAATAAATTTTCCTGCATGTAACGACATTTTCGCTAAGTCAACTATAGTTCTGTTCGGCGCAACCGTTCTGTTCCGGAGTAAATGGTACTGTTTTCTGATGCGTAATGCTATATCGACGTGTTAGTTCTTCACTTTCTTTATTGACGAACTCAAGACCATTATTTGATCTGAAGATCTTGATTTCTTTTTCTTATGATAAATGCTATCAGTCTTCTTGAAGAAATCCTCTAGACATTGTGATGTCTCTGATTTATTTTTGATAAAATATAAACTTCTTCAGTGACTATAGTCATCTTTCAACATTAAGAAATATCGAGCTCCTCCAAGCGAATTTTCTTGCATTGGATCTGAAAGATCTGCATGAGTTTTCCAATGCGTTCGCTTTTTAGGAATAGTAGTCTGTGCATTTTTCCTAAAATGCAATCTTCGCAAGAAAATTTCTGATCTTTAAAAATGATGTTCTCGGATTTTAGAATTTTCTTCACCTGATCCACATTCTGATGAGCCATTCGTTTGTGCCAGGAGAAAAGAGAATTGCACACTGCTATATTTGTCTGATGTTCGTCTGTAATGACTTTAAATTTCATTACGAATAACTTATTTTTTTTTCTCCCACTACAACAATATTTCTGGTACATGAAATACATTATATTCAGTTCTGATACGTGAAAAACATTACTGAGATACTTTCACACGCATTCTTTTCCATTAAAAGCAAGAATGTCAATATTTCCTGATCCAATTGCTTGAATATATTTTTCATCGCCTATCTTAATATTCTCTATTGTGTCAAATTTTTTATACGACAAAAACAATTCGCGACGATTTGACATGTACTCAGTCGCACCTGAATCCATGTGTCATGCATGATTGGATGTTTTTAAATTATATTCTGCAGACATGGCTCCAATGAGTGCCTCTTCTTTTCTTCCTTTGTATTTTTCGTTTGCTGCTTTTCGGTTTCTACATTCCTTGATTCAATGTCCTGGTTTGTGGCAATAATGATATACGCCTGGTTTAACGTTGCCTTTTTTGAAATTTTTCTTGTATTGGTACTTATTGACAGTAAAAGCAATGTTCTCTGTCCTTTTTTCGATTCCTATCCTTGTTTCCTCAATGGTGAGCCTTGAAATAAGATTTGTGAGAGTTCTTTCATTAGGTTGAGTTGATTCCCACGCACTAATAAAATATTTGAATGACAGAGGTAATGTCATGAGTATTTTAGTAATAATCATTTGATTTGGAATTTTCTCACCCAGAGTTTGTAGCCGATGTGCAAGATTCTCGATTTTTACGATGTGAATAGCGACATCATCGTTCGGTTTCTTCTGAATTGTACCATTGCTGCAACAGCATCTGTATACTAGTATCAGATTTTTGTTCGTAAACAGATTCCAGCTTTTTTCACATATTCTTAGCCGATTCATAATTGATAATATGCAAAAATGGATTTTCATCCACTGATGTGGCAATTATGCGTTAAGCTGTATTGTCGAGCTGTTTTGTCCAGGCAATGTGTGCTCGATTTGCTGCATCATCTCCTAGTACAGGAAGAATTGATTTACCTGTAACTATTTCCCATGCACCGCAGGATTTCAAAATAACATGCACTTAAAATTTCCATGAGGCCCAATTTTCCAATTCTTTCAGATTATTAATACGAACAGTTTCATACTCCATCACGATTAGGGTTATATTTCACGTTTGCTCAAGGCCGGATAATAAACCCACGTGCTTTTTCAATTTAATTGTACTTTACTTAATTATTTCTTGTTTTGTTCTTTCGTAATCTGGGCCGTAACCTGTTGACTGGGCAGTGGAAAACAATAAATAAAAATAATAAAAACGGGTTTAGCTGAATGAATATATTTGATTATACGTGATTGCGCGTATTTGTTTACAAAACATTTGAAATACGTGTATCAAAGAGAAACGAATATGTGTATCAAATAGTTACTAATTATGAAATAATAATGTTGCTGGCAACATTCATTAATGAAATCACATATAAAATTTCAGTGAATTTTAAATTCTATAACAATATAATTCCTATATACGGTTTATTTATTATTATTTCATAAATAATAATCAATCAAGGAAGATATATATTTAATATTTACTTACTTATATAAATTTTTATCGAATGCTTATTTAATATATGTGCTTAATATAATCCAATTATATTTTTTTGTATTATTTTTTTAAATGAAAATACATATATATATTAAATATTGTTATTATATATAGAGATAAGAGAAGAGCAATATAAAAGAAACATAAATTTCTTCAAGATAGAAAATTTATCTGTTTATTAAGTCAATTATCTGTTTATTTTGTAATGATATTTGTGTATATGCACTCCAATTAATATATAATATAATATAAGTATGGTAATAATATATTGAATTTTTTCGACATCAAAACTAAAATTTCTGATAATTTTTCAAAGTTTTACGAAATATTAATATTAATAATTAATTTCTTTTTTAATACATTTAAATAAATTATAATTATTTAAAAATATTTATATGAATTATTCGATATCTTTTAATCTAATATTATACTAATTATTGATTTTTCATTTGTTTGTCATCAAATTACTTTATTTATTAAATTATTTAAATTTATGAAAAAAATGTAACGAAAGATTATAAAAAGGACTAATCCATCACTTTCATAATTATTACATAATTATTATTATATTACATAAATATAAAAAAAAATTAATAATATCATGTATATACTTATAATTAGATAGTTGACTTTTGTTAGATGTTGATCATTGTATCAATAGTAAACGATTTTTTTTTTATATCTTAATCAAAATAAAAATGTCTCTTTTGTTATAGTCAATCACAAAAATCTTCACATGTTATCTTAGAAAGAAATTCTTAATCTGATTTTAATAGATTATAGAATTAGAATTTATTTTTTGATGAAATAGATTAAATATATATTGATCTTCAAATTTTTATTATTATTTCATTTATTCATTTTTTATTATAATTTCAATAAAAATTTTCAATTCAAAATATTTTTTATAATAGAATAAGAAAGTATTAATACGTGAAAATTAAAATTTAAAATTTTATTTCGTATCATTACGAAATTACATTTAAAAAAATAAATCTGAAATTTTAAAGATTGATTAGCCAATAATATTCCGTTAATTAAAAAAAAATTGATTCATATATATATAATTCATTATATACTTACTCTAAATACTTACAATATTTTATATAAAACAAAATTATTGCTGATTTTAATAATAATTTATTATTATTGAGTTATTATTGAGTTAAACTCATATAAGAATTTCTGTGACTAATTATATGTACTTAAATACCTAAAAGTATTGTTATTATTATATTCTTATCAAAAAGATCTTTATTTACTTAAAAGAATATTATTATATATTAGATAAAAATAATAAATATAGCATAATGATGTCATAATAATACATCATAATATTTCATTTATAATGTAATTTTTCAAAAATAATTAAATTAATATATAATAAATATTATATATATATATTTAATTTATATTATTTATATATTTAAAATATAATTATTATATTTATATATATATTATATATATATATAAATATAATAATTACATATCAATATTATGATATATTTTACATATCAATAATATGATATATAATAATATAATTAATATGATATATAATAATATAATTATTATATATCATATTATTATTACCAATTTTGATTTTATTATATTATCAGTTATTAATATAACATATTGAAATTATATATTATAATATTATAATTATATGTATAATAATACAATATAATATAATATATTTAGCATAACATATACATATCTAGGAACATTAAGGAAATTATTAAATAAAATTAGAATAAAATTACATTATTTATTATTATATTTATATTAATGCAATACATTATTTAATATATTTTTATCCTAATTGTATGTTTTTATATATTTTTATTTTTAAGAACAAATACAATTAAAAATTAAAATTTCTTTTTTTTTATACAATTACGATTTTTTGCATAAATTTCTCATGTATAAAAATTTCTCATATATAAAAAATATGTACATGCATATGTATATATATGTGTATATGTCTTTTGAATATAAAAAAATAAAAGATAATCATATTTTAATATTTTTCGAAATATTTCGTTTTATTTTCAATATTTGAAAAAAAAATAAAATATAAAAATATAAAAATAAATGTGCAAACAAAATTTCATTACTATATTCTAAATATTTTTTTACATACATTTTGATACTTTTTATTATATTTCTTTAATTGCTCTTTATGCTTATAAAGAGTTACTTATAATTTTCAATTTCTTAAAGAACACAAAAAAAAGAGTTAAAAAAAATTTAAAAGAATTTACTAAAATTTATTAAAATCATAATAAATTTGTAATAATCAAAGCATCAATTTGTGGATTAAAATAATTATTTTCCTTATTAAGTTAATAATGAATTAATTTTTTAAAAATTTAAAAAGAAATTTAAAAGAAAAATTAAATTATTATAATTATTTAAGATAAAATTTATATAATAAATATATAAATCATTATAATCATTAATTTAAAAGAGAAATTAGATTATTATAATTATTTAAATTTTATATATAATTAATAAATATAA